CATTGCGTTAAAAAACTATGCAAGCTGTTAGGTATGGCCACGAGTTTGGTTCATGAATACAGCAAAGTTTATTTATCAGGCTGTATTTTCATGTCAAGTGAAGTCAATGATTCATATGCCATATATAAGAAAAACACATTGATCCAGCTTAGCAAATTTGCATTTGATTATAGCAATGGCATTCTAAAATCTTCCGTATGGACAAAATTAAAGTCCTAGACAAGACAGTTCAAAATCAAGGACTCAGTTCTAAAGAAGACATCACGAACAATCGAGTGCAAAACTTGTACTTACGATCGGATGGGCAAGTAGCTCCCCGAAGTTGTAAATGTTTTCACCCAATAAAGCAGCAAGTGAGAGGTCAAATGCTAGGTTCTGAAACTCATATATAAACCCTATCAGAAACTGTTAGAATAAGCCCAATCTATTGATCAAAATATAAGCAGGGAGTAATATGTAAAACCTGTTTGAATGGTTCTGAAAGTGACTCGACTGTTGTGTATGCAAGATAAAGAAGAGCGCTTTTGTAGAATTCTGAGTAGTCTTGACGGGACTTATGATACTGAGAACACACCCAGTAATAGGTACCATGCACAGAAGGATCAACATCAACCATGCTGTCCAAAGTGGTTTTGCCCTCTTCTAGCAGCTTCTTACAATCCTTTTGATTCCCTTTCTCAAGAAGAAATGTTGCAATCTGCATCTTTACATACAGAATGGGCTCTTCAACCCGTGATTCCCGGGTATCACACAGTTTTGAAATTACGCCTTCAAGATAGTTTATACCAGCATCCTTGTCCAAATACTGGAGTGAAACTACAACTGTGAAGTGAGCAAATTTAAGAAGATTGATCTTTGTCTCAAAATCAGAGATGAAATGATTATAAAGCTGAATCAGAGCATCGCCCGCCTGAATGAAAAGAAAAAAACACACACACAAAGTGATCAGCGCAGTGGTAAAGACAGTAAAAGGGCAATCAAACTGTTGATAAAAAGGTCTCGAAGTATCTGTGGAAGAATGAATCTACATGTGAATGTGATAAGAGTACTTCATAATTTCACAACATAGATGTGGTAGCCATGATGCAATTGCAATGTGATAACTGAAAATTTATTCATCCATTGCTTTCAGGAAGAAAACTACCTATTTGCACAATGTTGATTAATAATACTATACGTAATTGGTGCTTGAAGGGAAGTCATTCCATATTGCATAATATATATTATATATTAATAACAATTAAGTCCAATGAACTATGATTCTGTACCGACACAAGTGAGTTAGTTTACATAAGAAACAATTTCCAAAGGGTCACAATTTCCACAGATTAATAGAGTTAGCAACCAAAATTCTGAGCACAAACAACCAGTATGTATTCACAATGGGTAATTATTTCTTAAGCCCAAGAGATAAATTAAAGATACATCACATTACAACAGCTATGACATTTTTACACCTAGGATAGGAAATGTAATAGGTGTGTAGACAATCAAAACCATAGCAAGTTAGGCAAGAGATCTGTTAAGTAGGAGTAGTAAACTAAAAGCAACAAAAACTCAAGCATTTAACTCTAGGAGTGTAGTAGAAACATATCTTTAAAAGACGAAATCTGCACCAACCAACCCAGCTTACTATCTTGCCACGTGTCTGCGCCCAAACGCGGCCCGTTTCATCGCAGTGCGAGAAGCCGAGAACCTCGGGAATCTTCTCGACGTGTCCGCTCGCTCGACTTGATGAGCAAGGCGGCAGCACGGGTAACCGCGTGGGCCACCGGCCCCCTCCGCTTCTTTGCCTGCCCTGCTATGCCGCGCTATAGCCTCCGGCCCTCTACCCGCAGCCCCACACCGGCGCCGGATAAACACCTGTCCCCAACCTCGGCCGATAAACGCCTGTCCCCAACCTCGGCCGCCCTTAACCATAGAGAGGGAGCGGGGCCGTGCCGCCCTGGACGAGCTGTGGGGGAGTCACGTGCGCCTAGAGCCGGCCGTGCCCGCGCCGTTGGCACCTCGCTGCCGCGCCGGTGGCCGAGGGCGCCTCGTCCTAACATGGCCACCACGTCGCGTTGGGGAGCCCGCCACCGACGACCTCTTCCGCTCCATAAAGATGTCAGTCACCAGCAAGTCAGCAACCCGCCCTAGGCTTCAGCCTTGAATCAATCAGTCAATCTAATCTAGATGACTCTTCTCCTTCCACGAGCCCAACGCCAAGGAGGACAGCAGCAAGGTCCAGGCCTTCCTCGCGGAGATGGGAGAGCGCCATCAGGGACCATCAGGAGATCGACCATGCGCTCAAGTTGAAGCCCTGCCACACTGATCATTGTTTTTCGCCTTCATTCACACATTTATGTTTCAGACGCCCTGATGAGGGTTTTTTTTTTCTGTTATCAATTATGTTGTCATTGTACTGTCGTATATTCAAGAGTTGCTGGTTTTAATCATGTAATATCCAAATTTGAAATCATCAATAACTTGCTTCTGAACATATTAATGTCAAATGATCGAACATTATCTATATTACTATCAAGACATGGTCAATCCTCAGCTGCACTCAAATCTGAAGTTTGTTCAGCTCTTTAGAAGAGAAACAAAGCTAATTTGGGAAGTCGAATATTATCAGACAAGCCTCATTTCAGCAAAGATGTTTATAATAGATATCAATGCTCGCTCACTATCGATAGAGGAAATCGAGTTTCAGAAACATATGGAATCAGCAAGACTAGGTACTCAAACATCAGTTGCTAGCCCAAGTAGCTCACAGGGGCTTCCCACATCTACAAGGGCAAATCAAGAGGAAACCGATACGACAGGTTTCCTTACTATATTAGTCAATTTATTCGAAGAAGTTTGTTTAACCATGGATTTGCATTCCAGTTTTCAACTAACAAAAAAATTTTATGCCATGAAACAAAATGTATAATGATATATTATGTATTGGTTCAAGTCTGACCATGGATTTGCATTCCGGTTTTCAACTCACAAAATAGTTTTTTTTTTTTGCCATGAAACAAAATGTATAATGATATATTATGTATTGGTTCAAGTATGATATATTATATTATGAATGTATCCTCGCTATTCTTCCATAAACTAATTCTAAAAAAAACATGTATTTCTTGTAGGGACATTTAGAAAGGATAGACATTAGTACTCAAGACATTTTCCAATTATGGCAAGAAAGTTTGAGAGAGATGCAAAGGAAAAAAAAAACCACATACTAATACATTATATATATTATTAGGTAACTACCTATTCAACTTTGGAGGTAAGCAGCGTGTTATATATCTACCTTATTCAAATTTTGCAACTATAGTGGCACTGCACAAAACAACTTAGTACTAAATAATAAATGGATTTATTTCGACATGCTTCATCATATCCTTCTCAACTCCTACATTTTGCGGAATTGCATGCACTTCTATTGATTTGCAGAAATGCTTTCCATTAGCGCCTTAAAAACATTATCTCATCTTGTATAAAGTACCTAAGAGCCCAAGCGGTGAATTCAGGTCCATTCAAAAACAAAATAAGCATATTCAGGCAAAAACATTAGTAGCACTGTTCGTATTTGTTTTTTTTATATTAATTATCTTGTACTACTGCAATATAACTCTTTGACTGCCAGTTCTATACAACTAGCTCCATGATGCAAGCATCCCATGGGACCGCGCGGCAAGGCCGCGCGTTGCTTTCTAGTTACACAGAATCCAAACTTAGGTATGCACGCTCCTATGATCGAACTCGAACCTATACTGATAGACACTATTGCATGATGGTGTTCTCTTAAACATAATTAACCCACACAAACACCTCACCCATGTGAGATTACCATCTACTCCGCGCGCTGCAGCGCACAGCATTGAACTTAAAAGCTAACGGCCACAAGTAAACATGCGCCCCCTTTAAAGTTTAACCCTAAACAGATCAAGCCGCACGCTGCACGCCAGAAGACAACCGACTAGGGTAGGTAAACAAAACGAGACATCATTAATGATGGAATCATGCGGACCTGGACGACGGCGAGCGCGAGGAACTGATCCAGCTTGAGGGTGAGCTGGTGCCATAGCTTTCGCTGGTACAGGTCGGCGAGCGCCGCGTACCACTCCGCGAGCTCCGGCCGGGTCGCGCCCTGCGCCTCCAGGAACTCCATCGCCGCCGCCATCGCCAGCCAAGGCCCCTTTTCTTTCTTCCCGGCCAAGAAGAGACGAGCACTGGAGGAGCTGGAAGAACCGAAGAACGATGGATCGATCTGCTCGGTCGCGGTCGGGCTCGCAGCTCGTCACCGAGCCTGTATACATATACTTGTATGTGAGGAGGCCCAACACGGCCCATAAGGCCCACAAGAGGCTGTAGCGAAGTTGGAATGGATCACTAGTAGCACGAGAAAGAGAGACACAGCCAAGTCGTCTTCCCCGACGCGTCCGCCTTCTCCGCTCGCTCGCTGCCGTCTTAGGTTTGGAGCCAGGTCATCGGGGCGCTAGGAGGGCGTGAAATCGAGTCGACGGCCAGCCCTCACCCGTTCTCCACCGACTGGGCGACGCCGGGACGGAGACCCCGCACGCGCACGGCCCGGCCAGACCTTCGCCGGTGTGCTCCTCCATCCAAGGCTTCAGCTCCAGGCCGAGCCGCCCCGCCAATCGACGTCCGCCGAACCGCCTAGGTGAGCCGTGGCCGTGAGTGTCCTCTCTGTCTCCTGTCTCCAGTCCCCTCTGTAGGGGATATTTAACTTTTTACCATCGTAACGGATGGCGCCTCCTCGAATAGCAGCTTTAGGTCTGGCGCTACACTTTTAGCAGCAGAGAGAGAAAAACGATACACATTTACCACTTTTGCTCGCGTAGCACGCCAGCTCCACTGTCCAGCTTGGATCGAGTCAGCATCCTCAGGTAACATGCGCCAGCTGCGCACCAACTGGAACCGCGCTGTGGCCACGCTCTCCTGGGTCGCCGACGCGGCGCGCTGGATGGAGGACACCCGGTCGTGGCTACCCGACGGCGACCGCGATGGCACACGCAGTGCTGGTCCTCCTCGCGTGGCACCCGGACCTCGTCGTGCCGACGCTGACGCTCCACACCGCTGCGGTGTTGTTTGTCGCGCTGTGCATCCTTGTGGCCATGGTGCTGTATATGGCGCCCATGAAGATGGTGGCCGTGCGGTGATCAACTTCTTCCGGTGGCTGCCTCCCATGTCTGAATGAATCATGTACAAGAAGGCAATCGGTGGCAATGGCTAGAGGATGAAGGAGAATCTGACTTGGGTCCCACGTGTCAGTGAGAGGGGGGGATAAAGACGCCAGGGGCAGGGGAGGTCTTTTTATCTGAGCCTGCTGACTCGGATCCAAGCTGGACAGCGGAGCTGGCGTGCCACGCGAGCACAAGTGGTAAATGTGTATCGTTTTTCTCTCTCTGCTGCTAAAAGCGTAGCGCCAAACCTAAAGCTGCTATTTGAGGAGGCGCCATCCGTTATGATGATAAAAAGTTAAATATCCCCCTCTGTAGCTATAGGAACAGATGGCTAGTTGATGTACAATTCTCCAGAGTAGAAACAGCTACAGATTTCCCTTCAACTTTTCTCCCGAATCCTGGCGTGAGCGCCGTGGGAAGATGAACACACGAGGCCGAACTAGGTGTATTGCTGTATTAGGTCAGCCCAATTTAACTTGACTTGGCTGATGGCAATGGCCGAACTGCGAAATAGCCCGAGCTGGAGAGAGATCGGTTCTCTTCAGCCCTTTCGGTTTGTGTTATCCAGTGTGAGCACCTCCCACCGATCACTTCTTACCGTTCAAGTGCCACCACAGCGATTGGTGAACATGAATTCTGGCCGCCGGCTTCAGCCATTGGGGGTGGGAAAGGGAAAGCATAGAGGGTGTCGAGCTGGCTCATTGAGGGCATGCACCAGGCGCGGGCTGCGTGGGTGTACTGGAGCCGGGCATGAGCATGGCCTAGGAGGTGAGGACCGAGAGGTGCCAGCATCAGCGACAGCTAGAGCTGGCACAACAGCACGTATTGCTGTCTCATGCTTTACAAAGAAACAGTATAGAAAACACGTCTGATCCCTACATTCTGTAGTTGCTACTTGCTAGTTGGAACTTCTATTTGTTGAATACTCAAATTATGTTGGGTTCTTGGAAAAGGTGGGTACAAAATTAGATTGCTCATCAGCCAATTGCATAATTTTATAGATTTAAAGAGCATCTTTAGTACCAATTCGTAGAGTTGCTCGGACCCAAGTACCTAACAAAGTTTAATGCTGATGCTATTGTTTATGAGGGAGAAGTGGAAGGGGAATATTCTCTTGTTAAGCCCCATGTTCAAATATTTTTTGTTACATACTCCCTCCGTTCCAAATTATAAGTCGCTTTGACTTTTTTGGTACATCCATTTTGCTGGATGTACCAAAAAAGTCAAAGCGACTTATAATTTGGAACGGAGGGAGTATTCACTTAGGTCCTATTTGGTAAGGTTTCTTTATCCAGACTTATCAAGAAGCCAGAGAAGCCACGCTTATGTGGCTTCAACCTTGTAAGAAAAAAAAAACCTTCTCCCTTCTGGAGTTCCTCTAGTGAAGCTGTTTCTTAAGTTAGTGTTTGAAGAACTTAACCCAAGAAGTTAGAGAAGCCACACTTGAAGCCCCTCAAGAAATCCTGCCAAACAGGGCCCTAATTATCTACTTAGGGAATAAAATATTTCGTGAGATGAACACCTTCAAACGAAGATTTATTTCTCTGACTAATAAATACAGGTTGTCTATCTTCTGGTGTTTTGATCATTCAATGTAAGGTGAGTTATATGGATGATAGAACAAAATTCCTGTGCTTTTCATGTGAGACAACACTTGAATGAATCTTTGTCTATACCATCCATTTACTGTTTTAGACTATATATATATATATATATATATATATATATATATATATATATATATATATATATATATATATATATATATATATATATATATATATATATACCCAAATGTTGGTTGGCTTTGACATATGTGCCTTGTTCGCCCTACCTATATTTTCTGGCTAGGTCTGCCCCTGGAAACAAGTATGAGTACCTTCTAGCATCTTCTGAATTTTCTTGGAGTAGCATGTCATGAATTGAGATTTTCTTGATGTACAGAGCAGAAACAATAGCTTCTATCTCAGCTGGACCCTTTTGCCTGGCTCCACAAGTTTGAGGGATGGTTCTTTGGTTGCTCTTCTACCTGCCATTTCGTTTGGTGACACTTTGTCTTGGGAATTGGCATTTATTGAGTTGTTTGAATGAGGATAATCAGAAGTGGATGGGGTGAAGCAAAACAACTGTGGAATATTGTGAATGTTTTTTAGGCTTTTTTATGTTTGGTCGACTCAACATGAATTTTCTTTTTTTCAATAAGCAAGGGGACATTTGATTGTAAATAACCTCCAAGGACCTAGTTTGCACTCCAGCGTCTTAGCAAGCAAGCGATTGGTTTACATATCTGCCACAAATGGTTGAGTTCATAGTGCAGCCCGCAAAATAAATATTCTTTGAAAAACATTTTATGGTATAATTTAGTTGCACAATTTGAACAAAATACTGTTGCCAACAAATTTTCATTTGTTTCGATTTTCAGGAATTTGTCTTCCTCATCTAAAGCTGCTGCATTGCATTTCATAGAAATGGCTATGGGGTTGATTAATGCTAATCCTATAATCCATGAGAAAAAAGAAAGGCGCGTCCGACCGGCATCAGAGACCACAGATGAAAATGCGGCAGAGCCCATAGACCAGCTGGAAATATTTGATATCCTTATTAATGATTTCCCTTATATAAATGTAGTGAAGCTTGTTTTTCCATTTATCTGTGAGCTCTCTATCCTAGCTATTTGGCTGTGGTCCTTAATGTTCTTACATCACATTAGAGATATAAAGGATCCAGAGCACCCATACTCACTGGAACAGCTGAATGTGGTAACTGAAGATTCAATTGAACTCAATGATGAAAGTAATCATGTCAGGTAAGTTCTCATATATCTAGGTTCCTTGGTTTGGATGTACAATTCAGGATTGTTACTAAAGCTCACTCTTGAGATTCATATTTGCTTTGCATCAGGGTTACTTTCACCCCAACAGTGGAGCACTGCAGTATGGCAACTATTATTGGCCTTTGCATACGTGTGAAACTTGTACGGAGTCTCCCTCCTCGTTACAAGGTTTGTTGTCATTGTAGAGCTTGAGACAAATTACTTATGTTACGATTTACACTATCAATATTATTTTGCCACAGCAATCAGGGTTTGATATGTTACCATCATGCCCATTTTAGCAAGTTCTAGAAATCTGTGATAGCATGATAGGCATGGTTTTTATGTTAGCATACTGCTGTCATAAGGGATAGTTTTGTTGCCAACTACTTTTTCAGAGGTGGTACATGTGCCTGGAATTTCTCTTTTAGATTGAATTATAAAATGATTACACCTTTGTTGCGCATAAAACCTAGTCACTGAAATGGTTAGAAAATTGGAAGCTGCTTTACATTTCATAAGAAAATATTTGATTTTACTGGCAGGAATTGCAATCTAATAAGACAGATCTGAAGCCCCCCCCTTTTAATCATCAACATGTTAGGGATATGTTTCTTCATCTGTTGTGTGTGTGCGCTCTCTCTATCGTTTGTTATACCGTGAGAAAATTTAGATAGCCATCTGAATCTTAACTGTTATAGGTGGACATAAGGGTTGCCCCTGGATCACACGCAACTGAAGCTGCCGGTATATGTTCTACAACTTCTGCAATAGTTACCACATCAATTGCTTGGCTGAATATCTCATCATAGAAATTATTTCTTTGTCGCAGTGAATAAGCAACTGAACGACAAAGAACGAGTTGCGGCTGCATTGGAAAACCCAAATCTGCTGGACATGGTTGAAGAGTGCTTATCACCAACATTTGATTGAGGCCATATCTGGGCGCCATGGTGTTTTATGTTCAGAAGCCACACAAGCTTATTACCTATGGAGTTTTACTCCTGTCTTTCGAGTGCTGAAATGCCTTGGCTTTAAAGGACGTGTGCATGATTTTTTTTTTCTCCGTCCCTTTCAGCTACTATTATATATCGTTGCCATTTTTTGGACGTTTTTGGTGCTCCCTGAGCAAAGGGAGATGTAATCAGCTCTTGTGCTGTAGCTTTCAGACCGTTGTCAGCGCCACACCATTTTGTGGCTGTGTACCCCACACAATCAACTGAACTTGGTAGCAGAACCCTAGAATCCTCAAAGCATGAGTCGTTTCTGTTTCCATACTCGGAAATGTTTTTGTTTCTGAGTTTCTAGCATGTTTTTTTATTGTATAGCATGCCCTTAGTTTGCATAAGAAAATTGTGATGATCTCCCTTCAAGTTTGGTTTCTCGGCTCAACTGATCATGCTAATTCTGTGGATCAATTGCCTGCTATTTTTCCCCACTGGCAGTGGACCGTTTCGCATGAAGACGATACGCTTGCAGCAGCGCCAACCGAATGAATATGATATGCTCGCAGTAGCAGGCCAACGGAAAGACGCAATCATGTGCATCCCTGGCTACAGCCTACAGGCACACATTGCACCAGCCCAACCTCGTGTGTCGTCGCAACTTTTCTTCAGTGCGCCACTGCCCCGTACGCTTACGGCAAAACGGCTGGCTCTGGCTGCCTCACAAGTCACAAGTATCGCATCGCCGCATCGGCATCGCAGGCCGTGGCCGTGCCGTGCGCACCCGACTGAGCCTGGACCTGGACGGCGCACACCAGCGGCAGGAAGCAGGTAGAGGTAGCGGAGGCGGAGCACGCGCTGACGCGCTCCCGATATAAAAAGATCAGCCCGTTCTCAGTAGACACGCTGTCGCGGAGGAGGAGATCTCAGGAACCCAAACAGCCGACGGAATCTCACCTGCTCTGCTCCTCAGCCCAGGCCGTCGCTCTCGCTGCCCTGAGCCCTCCGCGTCCCCCGCCCGCGCCGCGATGCCGGCGTGGGCCGAAGCGGCGCTCGTGCTCGCCTCGCCATCCCCTGCCACCGCCTCCTCGACCACCTCGTCATGTGGCGTCAGGCCGCGCGCCGCCGTGGAGCCCGGCAGGTTCTTCTGCAAGGTGGCTCCTCCCTTTCCCCTGCCTCCGGACATTTCTTATTCTGTACGACGTGCTACTAGTGAGTCGGGCGGGCTTACTGGTGCTCTCTAGTAGCTATTGCGAGCGTGTATGTCTTGGCTTCCGACGGTATTGGTACCGGCGTACTGCTCCTCGGCAGATGTGCTGCTGCTGACTTGTTGGTTGCTGCGCTTAGACTAGTACTGGCATCTAGGTGAGTTAACCAGCTAGCTGTTTCATGTATGTGTGATATTCCTTGCAACAGCATATTATCCATTTATCCTCTTTGTGCTAGAGTTTTGGTAGGGGCGTATGGTTCCTCGAATTGGACGTTGTATTTGTATAGATCGGATTGCAGAATAAGGTTTGAATGAAGCATAATTTGTGGAAACTACTCAAATTGAGCAGTGAGTACCCTCTGAGCTGCTGCTCTTGGTGCTAATCTGGTCTGTGGTCTGTGTTGCATGAGGTTTTGTGTGCTGTTGCTCTGCCTCGCGATTCATCCACTGTTGCAACAACTTCTCAATCATTCTTTTTCAAAGCGCTGGAGCTACAATCTACAGTGTTTAGGGTGATGGCCTACTGGGTGCGCTTTGTCCGTTAAAAGAAAAGATACCTGCACTGCACTTTATTCAAACTGATATGCAAAACAATCTAACCTACTCAAATGGTAGTGTCTTGCGATGCTGAAAATTGAATATGGAACTTGTCACTGAAAGTAGCTCAAATCGTAAAGAAAGATTAAAAGGCCTTAGCATTTGATATTTCTGTTGTGAGGAGTTTGGCTGTTCATGATGATTGCCATATAGTGATATAGCATGCGCATGCTGCATGCCAAACCTTCGTATAGTTGTAAAAACATATGTCTGGTACTTACAGTATCAACTTTTTTTTTTGGCTCACTTGTTCACTAAATTCTTATGTGTTTGCCACTGACGTTTGTGTAGATCGGGTTGTGAGGATTTTGGCTGTTCATGATGATTGCCATATAGTGATATAGCACGCCAGCCCTTCGTAGAGTTGTAAAAACATCTGTCTGGTACTTACAATATCAACTTTTTTTTGGCTCACTTATTCACAGTTCACTAAATTCTTATGTGTTTGCCACTGGCATTTGTGTAGATTGGGTTGCCGAATAAGGCTTGAAGCATAATTTGTGGGAACATGGTTGGCTATACTTAAATTGAGTAAACTTTGAGTACCTGTTGTTAGAGCCAATCTGGGCAGTGTTGCTTGAGGTTTTGTTTGCTGTTCCTCTACCGTGTGATGCATCCACTATTGCAACAACTTCGCCAACATTGGTGTGTCGGGTGTGCTTTGTCCATTCATACAAAAGATATCTGCACTTTATTTAACACTGGTATGCAATTCGATTTAATCTACAAAAATAGCAGTGTCTTGCAATGCTAAAAATTGAATACAAACCTTCTCTGAAAGTTCCTCAGACCATAAAGATAGATAAAAAGGCCTATGCTGTCTTAGCATTTGATATTTCCGTTTTGAGGACTTTCTGTTCATGATGCTTATCATGTAGTGGTATAGCATGCCGATCCTTCTGACTTGAGTTGTGAAAACATGTCTGGTGCTTACACTATCAATGTTTTGGATCACTTGGTTTTACTAAATTTTGATGCATTTATTGAAGTTGGTTGTGTTGTGCCCATTGTGTAGTTGATTTTCTCAGTGTTGTGTGGCTCTTCCTTAACATATGATGGTAATCATTGTATTTTATTCTTTCTTATGCTTGAACTATTCTGCTGAACCTAGATGTTCATTAAGACCCTATTTATCTATGCAATTCTCCGTTTATGTCATGATGCTGTATTGAAGGGCGGGCCTGGTGCAAGCGGTAGAGTCTTACCGCCTGTGACCGGAAGGTCCCGGGTTCGAGTCGCGGTCTCCTCGCATTGCACATGCGAGGGTAAGGCTTGCCACTGACACCCTTCCCCAGACCCCGCACAGAGCGGGAGCTCTTTGCACTGGGTACGCCCTTTTTATGTCATGATGCTGTATTATATACGAGCAACCTACATCCCACTTTTTTTAAAGTTATTCTGGGTCAAGTGATGATGGCTTGTTGTTCTGCAGGGGTTCTCTTGTACCATTCGTTCCAAAGCTGGATTCCAGATTCATAATTACCATACAAGGACGTTCAAGATTAAAGCAAAAGCAGAATCTGGTGATGGCTACACACGGCTTGCTCCACTTAGATTTGAATCTCCATGCGGTCAGCTTCTGGTTCAAATACTACAATCACACCCTCACCTTATCCCTGCAACAGTTGATCAGCAACTTGAAAACCTTCAATCAGAGAAAGCTGCCCAAAGCGAAGAAGCCTCAAAAGTTCCCCAGGACCTCCTCTACAAGTAAGTTCCTTCACTTCCTTAGAACTGTCTCCTTCAAATCAGCAGCAAGCACTCAATCATCATATCTGCTATTTTGTTCACCATGTTTTATGTTAAGATGTAACCTGCAAGGCAACTATCCATGAATAATGATACACATTTAGTCTCACAACATTGAAAAAAATGGTTTCTGTCATGTGCGGACGGACGTACGCAAGGCGCAGGCGCGCCCGCGACGTACACCGCGCGGCTGAGCGCGCAGAGCGCGCGGTCCACCAGCCCGAAGGGGCAACTTCCAGTGGCTAGAAATCAGGGATTGGATTAGAGGCTGTTTTGGGTAGTCCTATAATTAGGGGAATTCCTTCCATAGTTGGTTGAGCCATTGGCTATTTATTCCTGTAAGCAGGGAAGAATGAATCAAGCAAGATTAATCTCCTATTCTCTTCTTCCTCCACGCCTCCTAAGCCCAGCCGGTTGAGAGGGGTATAACCTCCACCCTGGAAGACTCAGCCGGAGACTACGAGCTTCGTAGTCGAGGGCCAGCTACCCTAAACTACAGTGCCCTTGACAGTTTCTGTATGCAAAAGGCTACAGTTCAGACAGTATATAATTTAAAAAGAACAGAAACAATTTTGGCAGTAGAGATAGGAGAAAACAAGGTGCAGCTAAGTAGATTCTGGATTGACTGATTCAGATGATAGCCTGCTGTTACTTGCTTGGGACTAGAAGGCTTTGATGTAATTGTTCTACCCTCCATTGAATCATGTAAATATAGTCATAGTCACGTCAATTATTACACTTAACAATTCACTAATTGGTGATAAGCTAATTGAACTACAGGAGAATTTCAGAAGTCAAAGAGAAGGAAAGGCAGAATGCCTTGGAAGAGATTATCTACTGTTGGATTATATATAGGTTCATAGATAATGACATATCTATGACATCTACATTATCACCAGGGGGTGGCCCTGTGCGTGACATATCTGCGTTGCCTAATCAAGAGGATAAATTGCAAAGCATACACTCCGCAGACGCTTTTGAGATGATACAAAACCATCTCAATCTTATCATGGGAGAAAAGATAGCAGCACCGCCGGATACTGTTGTTGAAATCAGCAACTTGAATCTTGGAAAGCTGTATGCAGCATCCATCATGTATGGTTACTTCCTGAAGAGGGTGGATGAGAGATTCCAACTTGAGAAAACTATGAAGACTCTCCCACCAAACCCCAAGCAGCAGATAGTATTTGAAAACCTACAACCTAATCCATTCTGGGATATGGAGTCCTTAGTACAGATTACACCTGATGGGGAGGAGATAAGTTTGGAAAACGAAGAATCAAATCCAAACAAGTTGAAGTCTTATGTCTCACAACTGGATGCTGATACATTGCAAAGATACGCTACTATCAGATCAAAGGAAGCCGTCTCACTGATTGAGAAGCAAACTCAGGCATTGTTTGGACGGCCAGACATCAAGGTATTGGACGATGGTTCGGTCAATGCAAAGGATGGTAGAATGGTAACAATCACATTTACAGAGCTGAATCATCTGGTCTTGGAGGCAGTTGCTTTCGGTTCCTTTCTGTGGGAAGCTGAGAGTTATGTAGAATCGAAATACCATTTTGTCAACAGTTGAATATGTCTTTCTTATTTGAATTTTGGAAATGGTTTGTGTACATGAGATAGGGTAGGATCCATCTCTTTTCTGTTTCTCAGTGTAGTCATGGTTCTTGCTCGCTATCAGTAACAGCCACAGCACCACCGTCCATGAACCATGCCTCTAACAGGTTTGACTTTCATCAAAGAAGTGGACCTGATCCATAGTGTAATCTAACAGGCAAGTGAAAATTAACAAATAGTTGATGTTTTCCAAAATCACTGGACCGTGTTCTAAATCTTCCCCATCAACTAGTTCACTGTAACAGTAACACTATCTCCCGGTTCTTCAGTTGTGTTTGCCGTCATGTCCACTAACTGCACGCAGTGTGCTCTCTGAGTTCTCGCCTTCACTGGCTATGGGCTATGGCTACTCGGTACGATTGTTCCTCTTCATTTTCCAGTTGTGGACCATGTTCTTAATTTGCCGCTGCGTAGACTTGAATAGATATCTCGCGTCATTACTTGCTTCAATTGCAGAAGCAGGAAGTACAAGTGCACACTGGCGGGCGATCGTTTGCCCGGGAATTCTCGGAAGTCAGAACATGCAGGATCTCCGCTCAAAAAAAGAACATGCAGGATCTGCCACAGCCACTCCAGAATTACTATGCGGCGCAGGCGCAGCGCACTGGCTAGACCGCAGAGTTCCTTCCCACGTTGTGAAGCCCAGGTCTGTGGCCGGGCATCGGTGGGGTGCTGCGTGTGGGCGAAGGTGTTGAGAGTGTTGACGACCGTAGGCAGCTGGCTGCAGACCACCGTGTTACTTGTGCATTTGGCATGCAGTTGGATTTGTTTTACACGTATGCAACCTGTTTTTTTCCATGGTATAAAAAAATACCTCTCTCTCTCTCTAGTGTTTACCTGTATGGTCATCCATACGAAACGTCATACATGTTTGATTTTGAGATCTGAAATTATTCACAGCGTGGGTACAATTTAGATGAAAATCAGTTTTTGGATATATGTAGTGTATTTCAAAGTGTTTGTAACGTGTTGATGTACCCAACTATTATCTAATATAATTCTTCTTTCGCTTAAAAAAAATATCAAATAGCTTCCACCTTCCCTAGTTCATGTTGGAACAACCATTGAGGGCTGAGCTTACTTGAGCCATCCACTACAAGTCTTCTTTCTCCATTCTAAATTGACGGCCCTCAAACCAAACATAAAACTAGCAGCCTCCAACAAGAACTCCACAACGAAGGTCATCTAGTCCTCCATTGGGCCTTCTAGGAGCTAGAGGTATTTGATCTTCACTTATCAAACTCTAAATCAAGAGCACCAAGATGCATACTAAGTTCAGCCATAAGGAGACCTGATCAAACGAGCGGGGTTAGGTTGAGTTCGGGTCTGACCGAGAAAAAAATGTCAGGTCAACTTTTTTTTTGTCCAAGCCCAATCCGTCGCACTAGCAAGTTAGGTATTTCTAGTTTTTTTGGGTTTTTTCCCCTACTTTAGGTCAAGTCATGATTCGAAAATCATGATCCAAACTTGACCTGACGTACTGTTTTGTTGGGTTTTTTTTTTACCTTTTTTCGAACGAGTTGGATCCGATGGTGGCCCATGATCAGGTCTAGTCACAAACACTACTCTTGACTTGAACTGCCCTCAAACTGTTGACAAAACTTCTAATATGTGTATAAATGTCTAGGGTAAGAGAGAATTCAAAATGAGTTGAATAAAAGACGTCCTGGAACTTGTCTAAGAGACCAATGTCAATGGAAAAAGACTCTGAAACTCCTATGGAATCTTGCACCTGACCGAACGTCTGCAGCAGCATGCTGCTTGGGACCAGCGCTCTGGCTGGGAGCCTCCTCACACACGTCTGTTTTTTTTCATTTTTTATTTATAGTGAACGACAGGATGTGATGGATGACCGGTGTTGTACTCTGCTATAGGAGCTACAGAAGCTAAAACGTCTTCCTTTCTCGTATGTTTTTCAAATGCTAGGACGACCTGTATTCTGGGACCGAGGTAGTATAGCCCAAGGAAAGATCTTAATCGTTGGGAAAAAAAAGACTACCGACAAAATCACTGCAGGATAGTCCACCATGCCTCAGTAAGGGGCACCGGATCGTTTGTGGTTTTGTACTTCCTCTTTTTCAATAGTAAACGTTAAGGTGCTTAGAATATTTACGTGAACAGTAGTTGTTCTTCCTCTTTTTCAATAGTCACCGTTAAGGTGCTTAGAATATTCTACGTCAGATGATACATCGTGGATTCGTGACCACTAAGGGCTCGTTTAGATGCAAAAAATTTTGCAAAATGAGTACTGTAGTGTTTTCATTGTTATTTGGCAAATAGTGTCCAATCATAATCTAATTAGGCTTAAAAGATTCGTCTCGTGGATTTTGTTTAAACTGTGTAATTAGTTTTATTTTTTATTTATATTTAATGCTTCATGCATGCGTCCAAAGATTCGATGTGACGGAAAATGTAAAAAATTTTGCAAAATTTTTTGCAAACTAAACTGGACTTAAGGTACAGCAGATCAATGGTGCACTCTGAGAGCATCTCAAAGTTAACTAACTATTGCACGGTAATGCCGGATGATCTGTGGATAGCACAGTCTAATCGGATGATCCGACGGCCTTGATTAACTATTCTGATGGACTTTGAAATTCAATTCTGGCTCCGTTTTTTAAGTCCATATCATTCAATTTAACTTCTCTGAGATCTTAACTTATTCTGTCTGTTTGAGCCATCCTTGATCCAACTCGCTTGGAATTTCTCTCACGTGTCACGTGTGCATCAAAAGCCTCTTGAGAAATGAGAATTGTGGGGATACGACTCCGGTATCTATAAGACAAGACATGGATCGCACCATTAGAGGTGGCATAACCCATTAGATCAAGGTGTGCATGGCACTGGTCGACGTGCACCGCAAGATATTGATGGTGTTCGGCTGACACGAAAAGTACTGTAGCGACTGAAAAGTTACTGTTCATGACTGAATTTGTGAGAGAAAAGTACTGTTCTGGATGAAAAAAGAAGCGGATCAAGCCGGGTATGGTGTCAGCCGAACACAGCCATTGTATAGTACCAAATATGATATTTTTCTCGTAACCCTACCCCTATAGAGTATATAAGGAGAGGCATGGGTCCCTTAGTCGATATCCATATGTATCTCATATTCAATACAATACAGCAAAGACACAAGACGTAGGGTGTTACGTCGATCAGATGATCCGAACCTGTCTAAATCGCTGTCTCTGCGCCTTGTGTCACCATCCGGTTCCTGATTACGCGCACCTCCACCAATCAATCTATCTTCGTAGGATACCTCTCGGAGGACTACCGAGCATCTTCTGTTGACAGTTGGCGCGCCAGATAGGGGCTCGTGCGCGCTGATCCCTGGCGAACCAGATGGCGTAACTCAAGATCAACATCCTTCGCGGCAACTCAGCTGATTACGTCGACATCCTTCGACAACCACGGCGCACGTCTTCGTACGCGGATTGACACCGCCAAGCTCCGACTACGTCCATCCTACTCCAACACGAGATCAACTTTGTTCTAGCCGTCAACGAGCCACTAAGCGAGCTGCCCACGTCGCCGACCAGATAACGCCATACGACGTCGGCCAGACTTTCTGTTTACAGCTAAGTCACACTTTAATACTTTCTAAATATTCTCCAATCTTCGTATATCGCCATAATATTTATCCGAGTTGTTTTCTTCATGTTTGCTCTCCAAACGATTTTCTCCTCGTATACCATCTTAAAGATGACATACAGCTAAGCATAAGGCAAATCCCCGAACAATCATGTTGACGCCGATGTCCCCAGAGACAGCCCTGTCTCCGCCTTCTCCCTACATGCGCACAAGCGTCTGCCCTCTGCGTTATGGGTGGTCGGCAGTGCCTCCTTGGCAACGCTTTGTTCTTCCTACACGCACACGGACTCCGCACTCTGCGTTATGGTTAACAGGCTAGCTAGAGCTGGAGACTCAGCTATATACTAACTGGTCGGATGGTTTGTATTAAATATAAATAGATCTTCAGAATAACACTAAGTGTTTACACCAACTGATCGCTGAGCTGCATACGCTATTTCATCACCATTGCTGATTATTCTCCGGAGTTCATATATTTTTACATCATGTACTACCCGTTCTACATATTTGTATTGCAGGCTCATCGTCCAGGTGATCGGACCACCTAGTGCTCGGACTTCTCCACCGATCAATTGGTCGGACCGTTAGGTTCATGGACTTCGTCGCCGACCAATTGATCGGACTGTTCGTCGGTCGCTTCTACTCAATGCTCACTTCGTCGCCGACCAGTTGACTGAACTCATAGGCGCTTGGACGTCGCCAGCTACGCTAGGGACTCCTCAGTGCTCGGACATCGCTGGCTACGCCGATGACTCCTCGGTGCTCGGACATCACCAACTACGTCGGGGACTCCTCGGTGCTCGAACATCGTCGGCTAAGCTGAGGACTCCCTTGGTGGTCGGATCTTGCTACGTCTCATCGATATGCTATCAAGCTGCTCCATGTTGTTCGGATCAGGGTGCTGATCTTGGGCAGCACGTCTGGGGTTTTGATACGCGCATGTCAGATGACGTCGGCAAGCTTTCGGACTTCTTTTCTTTGACCCTGCTACAAGATTCATTCTTCATCTTCCAGCAGTCTCGGGGACTAAGTGGCTACACTTCACCTGACGATGAATGTAGTGCTTATTTCTTGATTTACCCTCCTTATTGACGGAGTCTAAGTGGCTTCACTTCTCCTAAGTGGAAGAATTTTCAGAATTTTCAAGATTTTGAACTTGAGCTCCTTACATCCTTATGGCAAGCCTTACTTGGGATACACTGCTCGGCGACGGTTCATAGCTGCTCGACGACGGTTCACGCTGCTCGGCGACGGCTCACAACTGCTCGGCAACTTATCATGGTGGTTGGACCATGAGTCTGACTGCTCAGCTTTGTTCGCACCTGCTCGGACAAGCTCAAGACGACGTTGCACAACGAATACAAG